AATCGAGTAGTGCACGAGGGAGACGTGATTTATAGATTTACAAGAATGATTGGGTGCTACTCTAATATCTGCGAGTAAAACTCGCACTGTTAAGCAAACCCCACACGTATCAATATATTGACGCGAAGGGAAATTATTGACAATAATATTGATGATGTGAATTCAGAAATATTGACAATCTCGATGTATTGACGTCAATATAGAATGTATTGACAATACGATTATTGTCAATCAAAGCAATCGTGTAGGGTCCACTTTAGGAGACAGCTCTTTCTTTTCCAAAGAGACGTGAAAGAGCATTTCAAATAGTGCAGCACGCATTAACTATCGGAACAGTTCTCTGATTTCTGAAGAACAACGTTGATGTGCCCTGGTAAGCATGGATAATAAAATTGAACAGATAAAGAAATCAAATTGTGAGCTATATTGTATACACAATACTATTCACAGGAAGACTTGAACTAAACTTGGCGAAGCATTCAGCTTGTTGCTCATGGCGGTTTAGCAAACGTATCCACGGAGGACCCCATGGAAGGACTAAGTTCAAACGACGACATTTTGGAAGTTTTCTTTCGTTCACATGAGGTTTCACATGATTCCAGCATCTCGACATGCTTGTTTGATGAACTGGAGCATAGGCGTAGCCAGAGGGGGGCAGGGGGGGGAGGCGGGAGCGACTGCCCCTCTAAACTCAGCAACACAAAAGCTTTCGGGGAAATGGCGTTCACCCGCTCGGAATTCCGAGAAATCAACAAAAGAAGTCATTGTTTACAAAGGCTGTTACACCCTAATTCTAGCTCTATCTAGATATGATACAGTCATCTAAACGGCAAGGTCTACTGCGTTGCATTTGCATGATTCTTTGAAATGATTTGTGTTTAAATAAAAACATTCAAACATCAAAGCATTTCTTGAACCCTCAGGGGTGGAAGGATGCGTGGACATACCGTACCAAACGCTCCGAGTTATATAAAAGTAAGTCAATATATAATGGGCCTTATTACGGGTGTCACTACACGGTGATAAGGGAGTGAAACTCAGAATAAGAGCCGTGCTTTCCGTACAAATCAAATGCGAATCACTTCACCGTGATGACAAATGATAAGTTTTCACCGTGAAGTGACATCCGTAATAAGCCCCAATATGTTATGTAATAAATGTTTCATAAAATCATAATAATGGAAAGGTCTCACCATATGAATTCAATGTATCCGGTAATCCTGTACAGTTGATTGTAAGCTACTGGTAAAAAAACAATACAAAACCGAACGATCGTAGCATCTAAGAACTTCTTTGAACAGTTGACGAATCATCACATGGATTTCACCATATCATACACAGAACATAACTCACATATTCCCATTATGGGCCATTCCGCTCCCAGGAAATAGTTAGTTAGTTAGTTAGTTATCTTTATTAAGGAAACTTTCAGTCGAACACTGGTTCGTCTCCGGCACCCAGGAAATACCTAACTTCGAATGGGATCAAAAAAACTTCCAATGGAATACCGGTCATAAATGCACTTTGAAAAAACCTTCTTTCATCCACAAAAACAAAAACTATTCTTCAAAAAACTTATCAATTCTCAAAACTGGCAAATCATCTTCAGATAAAATTTGGAAAACCGCGACGAAAACATAATCAGGATTTTGTAAACATTTTTTGAATTTCCCCTACCTATTCATTTTGTTGGATTGCGATGACGGACTTCGGCTCGCGACAAAATGGCCTTATAAGGCTTGTTTACAAAAAGGAGTTGAGGCCTTTTCAAATGTTGGTCTTGAATTCTCACCTGATTAAGGAATGTAAGCACCCAAACTTACTTTAAGTAAGGAAGCAGGTTAATTCACCACTTTGGACACTACATGCTGTGCTTAAATATTAAACCAGTTAACCGTCTATTTCGAAATGAATGTCCTGTCTATTTGTTTTACTCCAAGAAATCTGAGTAGCACCCGATCCCTGGTTTTTATTTATTTGTTCTTCGTCTCGAATTTTTAAAAACTCCACAGACTGATTCTGTGTCTGCAACGACTTGTATAGTCAGGAAGATTTACTGCATAATTCCACGGAAGTTGTCGAAGAGCATACCGTATAAAGCTACGTTGAAACCTTTCCATTCTGATGACTTGCTGTGCATGATATGGTGACCATACACTAACAGCATATTCCATGATGCTGCGAGCAATTGAACAGTATAGTGCCTTGAGAGCATATCGATGAAGCCACTTATATTGCGACGAGTAAATCCCAGGGCCGCAAAGGCCTTTGCGGTAGTTATGCTGACATGCTCGTTGAACCGGAGTTTACTGTCCACAGTGACCCCTAAGTCAAGTATTGCTTGAACAGGTTCTGTAGCCTCTGAGCTGATGGAGTAATCAAACTCTGTTCGGCATTCTCGCAGCACCATAGCAGAAGCTCGTCAACATCGGCCTGAAGAGCACAGCAGTCGAGATGCGATGATATCGCTTTGTATATTTTTAGATTGTCAGCGTAAAGCAGTAGGCTCGATTTCAGCAGAAAGCACAAATAATTCACGAACAATATAAAAATCAGTGGTCCCAGAATGCTTCTTCGTTGGACACCTGACGTGATGGAAAAATCGCGGAAGCGAGTACCGTTTAATTTGACGAATGCCCTCCGACCGGATAGATAAGAGCGCAGCCATTCGGTGATCCAATTAGGATAGCCCAGATGCTTGAATTTGTCAATTGCAAGGTCATAAGGAACCTTCGATTTCTGAAGACAGGAAGTTTACGTAGGACATCAGGTTCGTCGTCGTAGATCGCTTCTTAAAATATCCATGTTGAAAGTCCGATATCAGCGGTCGGGAGGTGACATACAGAGCTTCGTTGACTTCGGTAAATGGTCCGTTTTGCCCAATTTACCCCTAATTTTGGAAGAAAAATATAATTATTATCCAGAAACTGCTTGCACTTGGTGCACTTAGATTGAGCCAACGTGAACATTAGTGGTCAATTTTACCCGATTTCCCCTTGGCATATAAAAACAAGATTAAAAACTCGGAAAGCAGAATTTGACGGGTAAAATGTTGAACTTTATGCACTTAACTATTGTTCAATTATCCAAGAAATCGAATGCTCCGAAGTTCGCCATGTGGCGACCACTGCAAAACCCCATTTCTCCCTATATTCCCCTCAAACTTGAACAAACTCATATATCATGTGGTTTTATAGATTAGCGTCATTAATATTACACGCACTTGCACTGTATTTATGTAAAAATGTCCGGAGAATCGAATGGTGATGGTCAGACTTCAGGAAATGGTTGCAATGGTTCGAACAGTTTAGCTAAACAGCATACAATCGAAACACCTCTGTAATTTTCAAGAGCATGATTGTAACCAGCTTTGAAGATCGAGTGATCGAGGCCAACTTCCACGCTTCGGGAAAAGTATTTTCACTGAGTGACCTGTTGAAAATAATCGTCAACGGTGTCAGCAGTGATCCAGCACATTCTCTTAAAAAACAACGGCGGTATGTTGCCAGTATCAGGCCCTTACACTGTCAGGAGAGAATGTCGGCGATGTTGTACTGTGCACATTCTCGAAGAATTCGGCAAAAAGATTAGCTAGCTCGTGCGGTGAATTGTAAATAATTAGTTAGGGAACGTTTCATAGGTTATAGTATGTTCTTTCAGACATCCTTCCTAGACAGCAGGAAATATCCAAAAAATAACCAATAGACGAAGATATTAGTAAAGATCCTTGGATACATTTTCAAGACTTCAGGTTGATCAAGTTTTGAAGATCTCCAACTGTTAGAAAGAACAGATGACGTCACTCATATATTCCTCGAAGACTGAAGTGTGAAAAGTATTTAAAAGTATTCCAATTAATCGAATCTGATTAAATCTTGAAAGATGATTCTAGATTTTATGGATAGTTTGGATGATTTAGAACATTGAATATAATTTCCGTTCCTTTATATTTGTATTTTTTGATAAAATTAAAAAAAAACACCATGAAAGCTCTAATCCGTATAAAGTACGAGTAAATAATAAATTGGTTCCGCCTGGGTTCAATCAAAACTAATACCATTTCAAATATAAAAAAAAATATCCCAATAAACTTACGTAAATAGAATTTCAAATAGTAGAGGAAATGGCTCTAATGTTGGCCTATGGATCTAAGATTGGGCCCACCGTTAAAAATCTGCTATTTATCAATTTTATCTAGATGAACGCGTCATTGGGACAGTACTAATGAATATTTTTGGTCGCTATTGAAAATTTAGTCGATTGCTGAATTTATGTATGGGCCAATCCCAAATCTAGTTACAAACAGGGCACAATCACAAAAGTTTGGAGTTCATTCCTTTCGATTAGAATTCAACTTAAATTTGCAACTTTATTCTTGATTTTATATCTTATACCGTGATCTTGTTTGATGATGATATGGAGGTTTGCTGATGATGATGATATGGAACTGCCTGTCACTGTAGCAAGACAACTGTCGGTTGACTGTGTGTGGACTATCCTTGCTGTTCGACTTGATCAACTTTAATAACCTCTAATTTTACTCAACCTGCCATTGTATGAAGGGCCAAATACGGTTTGATTGAATCAGTGGGCTTCATCAGTCACGTGTATCCACAGGATATATGACAATCTCCTTCCAACAACAGGATCATACAACCGGTCAAAAAACACGCGATCTAACAGGAGGATGTTCTAATGAGTGGCGAGTAGAGCCTACTCTCTATTCCCGAAATGTTAAAGACAGGGAGTTGGCGTTTTTTGCTATTAATTAATATGTAAACTATTTATAGTAACAGTTCAAAAGAGTGGTTTTTGAAAAAAAAACTAAAGATTTTATGTCTAATACCGAAAAGCTAAAAAAATATTTACTGGCTTCCAAGAGTGCAAGACGTTTTGTAACTACTGTAAAACTTAAAGTTCTTTCAAATAAACGAAAAGTCTTGAAAATGCGTTTTACTTTAAGAATGGTGAAATCTGACTAGAAGAGATTGTGAAGTAGTCTATCCTTGTCCTAGTTCCCACAGGGAAATTCCCGTTCCCAGCTCCCTGGCCAGCTTCAGTCGCTCGTTGATGGAGAACAACATTGGGTAGAATACCATATGGCGACCGTTCGATGTTTTCACTTCGAAGAAGTTTTCCACATCATGCTCATCGAACGTGAGATGTCTCTTCAGATGCTTCAGCAATCCCATATACTCGTGACTCACAATCGGTTGTCCCCCGTTAGGGGTGTAATCGCTTCCATAGAGATTCAAACCCAGCAGAATCTGGGCTCGTTTCTCCTTCACATTCTCCGCACTATCCAGGCAGATGTGTTGCACTGCATTCTTAACCCAATAGAGAGGGGCACAAGCTCCCGGTCGCTGAACGCTAGAATAGTCGTAGGTCATTAGCGAGAATGACGTCACCACGGGAGCCAAAGTTTCAAAATGTTTCCGTGAAAACAGATCGTAGGTTTCCTTCCGCGCCGGCGGAATCACCAGTATGGAATCGTAGCTCGAAGCGGTTAAGGTTTCGCAGATTTCCTTCTCCAAACCGACCAGGTACTCATCGTCGACCCAAGCGGACAGTTGCGACCACACCTCCTGGACGATGCCATTGAATTTGTACTTTCGGACGGTGTGCAGGATCAGTTTGGTGGCTATCGCACGCTCTTCGCCGTACGTCAGCAGCTGGGAGAAGTCCTTGTCGGTGAATTTGTTGAACAAAACTCGGGGAACGACTTTATTATTGATCGCTTCCCCGGCCTTCTTAACGTCCCTCACCCAACCTGCATCGATATCATGAGCACCGCCCAGCTCATACTGCTTCGGGCCCTTTCTCAACACCTGAAGCCACACGGGCGAGACGTAGTTGAGTTTGCCTCCCCAAGTTTTGGCCACGTCATATCCGTGGTTGTTCCACGGTGTCACATAACCCAGCACATTTCCTTTGAAATTCTTCAGTGCCGTCTCCTCATAATACGCACCACTCTCCACCAGGATATCCTTGACGGATGTTTCCTCCTGGATCAAACCCCGATCGAAAACACTCGTCCCCTGGGGACCCAGTTTCCACTCTCCCATCCATTTCGCTTCAATTGTGTGCCCTGGTGGACCCTCCCGTACCCAGTATTTAATGTTTCATATAATAATGGAATGAAAGTTAAGAGAAAATAAACGAAAGATCTCATCCGATATGTTGCAAAGGAATCCATGACATGACAATGATTTCGAAGAGCTCCCATAGATATGCTACCGCTACTTGTTCAACAGGTGTTAAAACAGTTCTTGTGACGTTCCTTCGTCAGCACTCAAGCTGCTCCTCAGCATAGAAAAAAGGACTGCGACCACTTTCCATCACCAATCACTCGTGACACAACGGTTTCATTTCACCAGTACACAGTCTGGAATACGCAGCGCAAGCCCCTCACCGGTCGAATCAACTCGTGACCAATGCCGAAATCAGATCTACTGATAAGTTTTCATGATAGCAACTCAAATCAAATTGCATGAGCCAAATAAGTTGGACGTGAACCAAATTTTAGAAAGCTCTAGTTTAAAATTATAATTCAGCCGGTACTTTTTCTTCGAGTGACGTTTCTCGAGGCAGCTTGAGGCTCTTCGGTAATCCGTCGCTAAAGTGAGCTAAATAATAGTGTTCAAGTTGTCAGCTTGGAGCCTTAATAGCTATAGAACAAAAAGGCCTAGAAATTATAGCATAAATGGAAAGTATGCTAATAACACCTCGCATGGGTCTATTCTGCCATAAATGGTTGCTCCATCAAGACTCAGGCACTGACCGTAAGTGATGCAAATAATACACGGGAGCCCACGGAAAATGGAGGCACCGCCACTCGACGGCGATAATCACGTTTATCTCCTAAGGACATCATCGTCAGGTTAAAAATGTGATAAATTAATCAATTTGGTAATGTGCCCCATTGCGTAATGTTTCACAACTCGTAAGCGCTTCTCGAGGGCGTCCCTATTTTGCTGCCATCCCTCCGCCGCCTTCATCACGACCGACCGAATTATTTTCGGTCTCCCGTTCCCCCAAACTTCGTCGTCCAAAGGGTGAGAGCCCCATTTTGCCCCGATTTCGATCCCAATGAAGATAATACAGTAATAAATAAAATTGTTATGATCATAGACCATCATCATCGCGCCGGTTATTATATTTCGATTACAATGGGCTTATCATCATTATGCACGGAGCAGCAGCAGCGGTGTACTGTAGAGGGATCTTCTTGCTTGTCGGAATATGCCTTCATTACCGTCCTCGAAAACGAGTGACGATGGTCAGAAGCACACGGGCGAAAGGTCCGGCGATCGGAGAAGGACAGGACAGGACAGGAGCCACTGCTGGAGTAGATTTTGCTGTAGCTTTTCATTTCAGTTCCTTCACCGTCGTGCCTCGTTACCCAAGGCTACGTTTGTTGAAGATCTCCGGTATGGGTCTGGGAATAGCTTTATTTTCGCATACCGTTCCCCGGCCGGCCAGTTTGTCGGGCTCGTCCGATTCAAACTCCAAGCGGTGGGGAGAGGCACCAAATAGTTGCAGCTATTAAGATCTGGTTTGGCCAGATAAGAAAACAAACGTTATTGATTTTTATACTCAGTTAAAGGCTATTATCATAGACATAAATTTTAAGTAAGTTTTAAAGACAGTTAGTGCTTGGAGGGCACAACTCTTTTGCAGGTCCGTTACGCCCGGAATCCCGGGTGGGAACGGGTGTGTGTGTGGTCTGTGAGAAAGTTTTCGGGATCACAGGTTGAGAATTTAAATATTGTTCAACTCCTAGACAGCCAGATAGACAATTTCGTAAATCTGAAAAGAATCGCTGAGTGGCACTGCTGCGTGACTCTCAACGACATTTAGCAACACACAGCCAAATCTCAGCAAATGCAAAGATGCCCTATTGCGGAACGGTCAATTCAATTTGAGATTCTGCGAGATTTCCCAGTGAACCAGCCAACCGATATCTGCGCACACCGGATTGGAATAAATTAAACTTTAATTTACCAACCGCGTACAGCGAGCTACTTGAATTGGAAAATGGGGTATTATAACACAAAACATTAAACAAATCCAATTTCAGCTTGCTGGATCAGTTCTGCGATGTGCGATCTGTGTGTGCGGGTACTTTTAGAAAGGATCGCGATCGTTGCAATAAGTATATGCAGAGGCTCGGACGGTGTGTAAAACTGTGGGGTCCGTTTGAAATGAAATAAATAATTTCAGGAAATACTAGTCCGATACGAAATGATCAGGAACGAAGCATTTTTAGGAATACAGCAATTGAAGAGCCCATAGAACTAAAAGACATTTTTTGGCACTCAGTGCTGAAAAGTGGTACTTTTCGACACTCTTTTGAATAACATATCGGCTTACTGTTCGTAGCTAAAATATCAGTACCGTTAAGTTCTACTTATTCATTAGAGCTGGAAGGGTAGGTATATGCTTAGAGGATTGTTGCACAAACAATTTTATTAGTTTTAGAGTACTGAAAATTTATATCGCATGAAATTTGAAAAAAATACATGATTTTCTCTTTAAATTTTCCAAAAAATGGAAAATTTAAAGGAAGAAAAGAAACGTTAAATCATATGATTAAACGCCACATTTTTATTTAACCCTCAAGGACTGTCCTACTGAAAACATCTAATGGTGATAATCCCATCTTAAGTGAACCTCACATACCGTAGAAATATCATTCAATAACTTTATGTATCACACAGTGATGGAAAAGTTCATCAAAGTTCCCTATGACTCGCGAACTTTTCCCTTGGTGAACTTTGTGAAATATCGCGAACTTTTCCAACACTGGTATCACATAGAATGAATTATTTCATAAGTTGCACAATACGTGTTTCGTGTGTAAGTAAACAAACAACAATCAATCAACTTTCTAAATATCAGCTTCTTTCCAATTCAGTTCCATTTCAACTGATTCCGTGCAGAGTATGTTCCTTACCGCTTATCTTTTTTATCTATAACCCTCCAAACTATCATTCCTATGAAACAGTAAATAGAAAATACAAAGATATTGGATTTGATGTAAAATAATAAAAAATATTAACCCTGCTGATAAATTGATTCTGTTTACGATGCGTGTAATTTGAAATCATATATTCAAGGCTTACTCAAGGTTAAGACGTGACAGTTTATCTTTTTACAATGACAGGGTTAGGATGCAGGAAGATGATTTAAAACTCAATTTCTTTCCATATAAATTTTCTCTAATCATAAGTTCAAAGTACTTGTTTAGCGCTTTCTACACCAAACTTTTAATTAGTAACATCTCTAATACTTATTCTTCATCGTGGCTATCACTATATTTATCATATTCATCAGAATTGTCATCATTATTACAAAGTTCGCATTGAGGATTCATCAAATATTCTCTCATTTTTTTTACTAAATGTTTCGTCAGAAGATCTTCTTCGTTTGGAACTGTGCGTTATAACCAATTAAGGAGACTTTCAGCCCTGAGCTGGTTCGTCTCCGGCCACATAACCAATGTTCCGATCTTGGGGTCTGAATGCAGACTTCATCAAATCTGACAAATTGGCCTCTGGAGAAGTTTTGCGAGCAAGATGGGGACGAATATATTTATTATTTGTGTGGCAAGATTCACCTTGTTTTGTGGATAAACTCAAGGTAAAAGGCTTTAAAACAAACGAAAGTATTTTGTTTATAATGCATAGATTAGTAACCAATGATCTTACCAACTTATCCACGTATTCTGCTAAATGTTTGTATTTATGAATACATGGAGGTAGATTTCTTATAATCGGAAACTCTGTGTGAGTGTACCCCATTAGGCATAAATTTATATAAATTAATATACGGACGTTAGGCATAATGGACGTTAGGCATAAATTCATTACTCATAATGGACGTTAGGCATAAAATACCTTGCTGCTGTACAACTCTGGAAACCTGTTTCGAGCATGGGAAACAATGCCTAAATTAGGCTAAGCGTTGAATAAAATATGATACAAGTTAAACAAACATAGTTTGTTTAATAAGCACAGTTTGGAATCCGTTATTTATCATATCATAATCGACGTAGTTACATATTTACTTACATCCAATCTTGCAATGAAAACTCAGCATAGTTTTGAACTATATATTGAAATCAATCGCATCTAGAAATAAAAAAAATAACACATTTGTTGTAATATATTCTTAACACTTATTCCAATTGTCAAAGAAGAAAAGGTTTTCCTCAAAGAACAGCTCATGAAATGAAGAATGGTGAATTCTGTGGTTTTTCATTTAATAACAAAAAACATACCTGCTGCTTCCAGGATTTCCTGCCATACTTTTCGATACAACGATTCTGTTTTTGTTGTCATCAGAATGAAAACAAGCGAAACCGTCTGCTGATGTGAGGGAGCGATACTTCCATGAACAGTGACGAGTTGCCGAAACAAACAAGGAACTGTGGCAAACGTACCATCTGTTACCCAATACTTTGCCTGTCCAAGACGTCGCAAGTTTTTATGAGTTCCTAAAATTAAGGCTCTTTCATTATTGTCACCGAAGTCAGCAATCAGTAAACGGTCCCCATTATCATCCTTCTGGAATTCATCGGGTAGATAATGCCTAACGTCCATTATGCCTATCGAAGATTATGCCTAACGTCCGTATGCCTAACGTCCGTATGCCTAACGTCCGTATGCCTAACGTCCGTATGCTTAACGTCCGTATATCTAACGTCCGTATGCCTAACGTCCGTATGCCTAACGTCCGTATGCCTAACATCGTGTACCCCTCTGTGTATACCTGTTCTTCTGTAAAACTCCACTAACTTGTCCTTGTTCAAAAATTGGTTTGACAAGGCCAAACAGCTTATCAAACGCAGGTTTCTCATCATATCAGCATCCACATTAAGAACTTCTGCGAACTTTTCTGGCTCAGAGAGTAGATTTCTGGCCATGGCGCAAACGGATGCTTTTCCAGAAGAGATTTTAGAGGAAACTCGAGCCACTCCAGAGAATCGCCACCCTACCGCGTCCAAGTCGAGCTCCCTTTATGGATGAGCAAGGAATTCTTCGAATGCGTGGTCGTATTGGAG